ATTGACAGCATTATTTTTTTCCCCATTGATACAGTTTATCTGGAGCCTTATGATCTACATTCAGCAGCCAGGACATAGGTCTGCATCTGGTCACTATTATTATAAAACTTAGAGACTTTGAGCAATTATGCAACATCAGCAGATTTTGTTGCCTTATCATTTGCTCCACCTTCCAGCATAAAACCTTTGACTGGGAACACCTTTGAAATGCTTGATTTTTTCCTGTATTTGTCATCTTTTAGCAAGCTATTGATACAGATGATCTTCCTTTTTACTTCACGACAGCTTAGCTGGTTTAAGAGCAGACTCATGAAAAACAGTTGGGTGACCAAGGACATTGTATCAGCTAAATCATTCTTGTTAGTGTGTTTATTTATTTTATTATGTTTTCTATCCATCTCCGTAGTACAAAAGTCAGACGTGCTGAAGCACAATTCTCCAGATTTGTGCCACAACCTTTCTGAAAACTTTCCTTTGATATAGAGGCTGACGTAAACCCTCAGTGGCACAGTCAGCAACTCAGAATTTTAATCTCTGAATTTCTTTTAAACTCTTGAATCTGTTATTGGCTATTTCTTGTAATTCAAATTTACAGCTTTATTCTAAACCAAACTATTATTCCACTTCTGGCATTTAGTCAGACGAAAAAATATCTTCATTTTCACAGCATTTTCTGCATTACTATTGTTGGGATGAAAGGGTCAAAAATGAAAGATATGGTGAGGAGGCAGTAGGTTTAACTCAAGAGACTTTTGCAGCTGGCAGCGTGAGGCCTGGGAAAGATCCGAGGGGGAAAGCCCATTTCTTACACCTACTGATGTTTATGCTCTGCCTGTTTTGAGAAGTAGGATTCCATGTAGAGATAACACTTTCTCACAGATATGCTTGAGGGCCCTGCTGGAAGGGAGGGAGACCATAAAGCCCAGGGGAGATCACAGCCTTGAGGTAATGAGTACGTGCCAGGCCTGTCGTGATGTAGAGGCCAGGAACAGCCCCCATGATGCTCTTTTGCCCAATGCATGATTTTACAGTAGTTTATTTAGGGTTTCCAACTTCAGAATAAACTTTTCCTTAATACCTTAGCCATGCTTTGGTCATCTGGATTTACCTGCGTGCATATCACTTTTAACACTGATATTTTAATGACACCCCAGTAGAAATGTAGTGCATTACCCAATGCTGTCACAGTCTATGGCCATCAGCAAAGTAAGTTGTATGGTACTCTTCCAGGATATACTAACTGAGTTCAGTTTTGAAGGAAGAATGTAAGAATTTCCAGAACAATTTTTTCTAATTTTTGTTTACAACTTTTGTCTAACAATTTGTTTTAAAGAACAATTTGTTTGAAAAATAAGAACATTTGCAAGCACAATATCTGGACACCAATCTGTTCTTTCAGGGAGAAAATATTTAGCTTAGTTTCAAACTGGCTTTTCCTGATGTGATCATATTTGTTCCCTGCTCTTAAGGTATTGTCAATGAAACATAAAAACCCCCAGTAAACGAAATATAGGTATTTTTTACCTGGCATGAGAGATATGTATTTCTTTTTTTTATTTTACATCATTTACTGAATAAATATAAATCTGGTATTAGTTCAGTAAGAAAATAAAAACATGGTAGTTGGGTAGCAATAGAGGGCAAAATACATATACTGCCCAACTGGAAAAGCTCGAAAAGCAAAAGACATTTTTGTTCTTCGTGGCAAAGTCTTTAAATCCATTACAGGGCTGCTGATGCCTAAATTTGATATGCAAACCAGAATATCTAAAAATAAAAGATTTGTAAAATTCAGAATATTACTTTATGAAATATTTTATCTGCATTTTAATGCATGAGAAAAGGGTGAAAAAACCATTCTTGCTTACACGTATCACCTTGTTTGTTCCTACTGAGTTTTTCTATCTCTCCCAGGGTCATTCCCTTCATTTGCAGATTTGGAAGCTGAGAAACAGGGCTTAGTTTGGTCAAACTCAACAGCAAAGAAGGGAGCAGAAGAATCCAGGTCTCCTCACTTTTAATCAGAAGCCTAAAGCTGTACTTGGTGTACTTTGGCTGCTAAGTACCAATCTGGCTCTTATGGAAATAGTGAATGCCAGAGACAGACTTGAGGCTATTTAAAATGTATTTCAAAATTTTATAACTCCCCTTCCTTAAGGTGGGATACACCTCTCAGGTGCAGCATGAACATTATAAAGAAAACAGTTGGGTAAACCACCAGGTGAAATTGCTCAGGAAAACTACAACCAGAAGTCAAACTGAGATGGTATAATCTGTGACTGATGGTATAGAATATAGAATCTGACTTTGTTTTATCAGTAACATGAGTTAGCTGGCACCCTGAGAGGTGCACACCTAGGTGAGGTACCTAAAATCCAGCACAGTGCATAACAACTCCTCGGTCATCTTTATGTGACAATGACTTATCAACAATTTACAACAAAGGTCTTTCAAATAGAGTCCTTGAAGGCCTAAAGGGTCATTTTTCTGCAAACAAAGGAAACAGCTTTAGTTATACTTAAACAGCATATCAGTGTATTATTCTAGGTATGTGCAGATACACTGAGATGACCAGTATTGAGTCTGATTTAACCCATTTACAAGCACTTGTCCTGGGTCAATGGATATTTTAGCATCCAGTTTTGCCCTTTGTGGTAGTATATTTGTTATGCACTATTGAATTGCAGCAGAATATTTTAATCGCCTTTTTAACAATATATAATTATTGTTGACAGCAAACCAACAAGAAGAAACACGTCTAGATTAATTAACAGTGACCTATAATTAAAGATTGCAGTACTTAGAGATGGAGTGCTCCCTAGATAACATTGCTCTAGTTTTAATGAGTGTTTATCATTCTTGTTTGCTTCCCCTGTGGCAGTTATCAAGGTTAGTTACAAAATTTCTTAATTAAATGGGAAAACATAGAAGACAATGTCTTAACAGAAAACAGCTTGAAATATTCATGACTTAAGCATAATCTCAAAGTACGCAGACTCCTTCCCTACAAATTTTTAATCAGTTTACCTCTTTTCCTTAAGTCATACCTTGACACTAAACTACAGTGCTGTATTCTAGGATTGTTCCCGTTCCTTTTTCTCTGAAGACAGAAATATGTGTTATTAAATATTTATCTTCTCCAACATGTGAATGGCTCAAAAAATGTGTTTTCAAATTAAGCTTTGATATAGGATTTGTGATTCCTGGCCCAAGCTTCACTAACCAGTTTCTACAGTAATTACGTAAATCTCTTTATTGCACATTTTCAAAATGCAGTCTGACGCTTAAATTAGATTCCTAATGGAATTAAAAGATCACATTCCTACCAAATTCCATATGGAGTTTGGTACCCAGAGTGCTCTGAGGAAATAATCTGACTTTCACCAATTCTGCATTTTCAGATGTCACCAGAAACAGAAAATTCCACCACACTGAGAAAAATTCTCTACAATTCCTATTGTTTCAGATTGAAAGCTGAACTAAAAAAATAAGATAACATATAACTAAAGATAACATAAGAGGGAGCTTCATCTCTAAACTATAACATGCTTATAAATTTTTACTAAAGCTCAACTGGTTCATACAAGTACTATTTCTATGATTACACTATATACAATACAATTATCATATGTAAAATATGTAAAGACAAATATTGGTAGAGGTAAAGAATGATCCTTATATAATATGAAATTTTTCTTCAGTAGAAATCCTGATCACCTTCACTGTTGCTTTGCATTGTGCTGCTGGCAAAATATTCTTTATTTGTTTTCTTAGAACAAAAAACAATGTGCATGAAAGGTTTTATATAAAACATTAACAGAAGCACTTGAAAAATCAGAAAAAAAGTGAAAATAAAAAAAGACCTTGTTTGGTCCCAGCCCAGTCTCTGTACTAGTTGGTCTGAGTAGTTAAAATCAGGCAATCTTGGGAAGGGAGGTTACCATTGCTTAAATCCTAGGTAAAAATAGAATACAGATTGGGTTCAAATGAAGGTTGTTCTTAGAGTAACTTGCTCTTACAGATTCTTACTGCCAGTCCAGATACTTCTTATGTTAAAGCACAGTTGCACAAAAATCTCCAAGGAGTACAGAACATTAGAAATGACTACCTGGTAGCATTTTTAGTTGTAATGCAACAATAAAAAAGGTCTTGAAAAATAAAAGGATAAGTATGGACCACTTACACATGCCAAATATGTAACCAGAATAGTTATCTGGGAAACTGGAGGAGAGCTGTCTGAAAAGTGTATTCACTCACTGCCAGTTCTTGTCCTGGTTAGAGCTATGTGCTTGAAAGAGCATTTCCCAGCACTTTCTGTTTTTCTCCCACCATGCAGCACTTTCCCTTCCCCACTCACAGTTTGGCATCAGATTCTGCCAGCCCTGAACATTGCTGCAGTTTAGTGCTGAGTCATCACTTCACCACTGTCACAGAACATCATCATCACTGCTCTTATAGGAATATTGCAACAGCAACCTTTTGGTATGAGAAGGGAGAGAGGATTCCAAGACATAGGCAGTGGAAGAGCAAAGCATAGTAGCTTCTTTCAGAAGAAGCTATCTTCTTCAAAGGAAGTTCCCTGGGTTTTGTGATCACTGGTTTGGAAACAGCAGAATTAGCACTCCCCATGCTTTCACCTCTGCTCATATGCTGTACTTCCAGAGCGCCCAAAGGATCAATGTTCGAAGGCAACGGGAACTAGAAGAGACTTCCGTTGTTTATCATGGTGTTGCTGAAGTCTTCTGGGGTTGACAGATGCCACTGCAGAAGGTTAATAAGATGAAAAAAGCTCTTCCAGCTGGACCATAAGAGGGATTATGTCTGAGCAGCAGATAAACAGATTATTCCAGAAACAGACACTGCTTTTTTTTAAAACTTCGTCACTCTTGTCTTACCACTCCAGTCCCCCAGGCTAGAAGTGTGTGTGTTGAAGGGGCTTGCCCAGCTCTTGCATTCTGGCACCTGTTGCACTCTGCCTAGTTGCAATTCAATGCAGTCCAAGGCTGGAGACACCTGAAAAATAAAAAGACAAAAGACGTTTGGGGATTTGAGTTCATTAAGAAAACAGAATTCTTCTACTTGACTGAAATATTCTTATTTCCTGCATGATTGCTCTTGAAAACTGTGAATGATCAATAGACAGCATGCATTTGAAAACTGGATTAATATTTTTGATCATTTGCCTTGCTCTCCAAGTTCAGGGAAGCAGAGGTAAGTTTATGTATTAAAGGTTTAGATTAATTTTACATTGCATATGTTGAGAAAAAATAATTTCAAGATCAGGAGTTTTCATATTACAGAATTTTGTGTTTGGAGTGTGGTGTTTTGACAATTCAACTAGAGACAGTACAGTTACTGACACATGTTATAAAGCTGAAAAAGGAAATGTTGGCCTTAATTCTCATGTATGTTTCCCAGGCTTTACAATCTCAGTAAGAGATGTCATCTAGATTCATTTTAGCTGAATATGTTCTGTTGTGACAAAATACAATTTCAAAAACAACTATAATAAAGGTGAAAAACAGTTGAAAGAACATCTAAGTGCTGACATTGTAAAAGATGGTCTTTCATCCATGAAATGAAGAGAAAATAGTAAAGTCTATCTTTGCATTTACTAGCCACTGTCAGAAAAAAAACTTCAAAAACTTTTGGATAGACAAATTCTGGAGGAATACACCATGCTGACAAATATGCAAAAAACAGCAATACTAGTAAGGATTACTATAATAATAATTGTAAAATGATTTGCAAGAAAACAAATACAGACAACTCCTCTGTACTTAATTCAATAGCTAACGATGACTCATTTTAAAAATATTAAACAGTTCACAGCAATTTTAAAGTTTCTTCAACAACAAAAAAGAAAAGATGGTGATGTGATTTTTCCTGATTAGTTCTATATTCAGTACATTTAGAGCTTTGGTGAATATGTTTAATTTTGGAGGAGGTTCCTTAATAACATTTCCATCTATGCTTTGATATTTACATAATTGAATTAAAAGCCAACATAACAACTGCTTTATGTGCCCCCAAGTCAATGATTTCTATTTTTATGTCAATCTCGGGCCTGTTAATTAAATGCAAAGAATGTAAAATGATAAAAGAGAAGTATCTTCAATGTTCTCTAAATATTTGTTAAAGAGACATTATGAAATATAGTCTACTGTCAATACTATTTGGAAAGTTTTATTTACACATTTTATCTTGCTTTTCTTTGCACAGATTTTCTGTAAGAAATACATAACACAGTTCTTATATGTCACTTAAATTATGTAAATCTTCTCTAGTGGACAATCAAAGTACTGAAAAAAAATCCCTGGAAAAATGTACTGTATAAGTTAACCCTAGATTCATATTGTGCTGCTCTTTGATTTTACATTTTAATACCACGTAAATAGTGTCATTTAATCATTAATGATACTTTAGAAATGTGGCCAAAAATGAGATAATTTCATGTCCGACAAGAAGAAAAGTTCTATCAAAATGCACTGGGTTTGCATTTAAGTTGCATATTCTATGATGGAAAGAGATAGAATGAATTCCAGACAATTCATGCATGCTTGATAGCATCATTGTAGTCCATATTTATAATTATGAACTGAGAGAGCAATAATGTTAAAAGTGGGATCATATAGTTTCACCCCATTGCAAACTGTGATTATATGTTACAACATATTTTGTGTAAAACACCAGCAAAATGCTGGGAGGCTATCTTGACAGAGAGGAATACAAAATTGTGTATTACCTCCCTAAGACATGCAGTAGAAAACTTGCTACATCAACGCTCAGGAAACCATGACCAGTCATAAACTTTACTTAACATCTTGCTTATGTAGCAATGTTCAAGTTTTCTCATTTTTGATAGCTTTCAGGGGAAAAAAATATTTCTATACATTCATGCGAATAATTAGAAAAATTCCTTCCCTTTATAAAGTACATGTAGTATGCATAAATGTATAATAATTCCTTTTTATTGACATGTAGTCATGCCATGTGTAATATTTTTTAACTATGTTATTTCAAATATATGCACACAGATCTCAAAAAACTTAATGGTTGTAGTAAGAAACTTCTTTTTCAGAGCAGAGATGCTTCCAGAATTGTTATTTTATAACTTAGTATTAGGGTCATATACTTAGAGAAAGTGTTTTTCAAAAGTACACAGGCTCTCCCTATAGTCTGAACACTTGTATAAATCACTCAGTAGTGAACCTAACACAGATGTTTTGAGGCTTTTTTTGAGGTTATTCAAGTTTGCAGGACATGTAAACTGTGATAGGCAAGGAAATAAGAGACTACGATATAAAATATCCCCATCTTAAATGAAAAAGCCATGCAGACAGTTTCGAAATATTTATAGAGTTAATCAGTTGATATATTTTCCTCATTAAAAAAAAAAAACCAAACAAACAAAAAAAAAAACAAAACAACAAAAAAAAACCCCAAACTATCTTAAATTTAAATTCTGCATTTACTCACACTTATATTTCATAAAAAGTGGGTTAACTTTTTAAAAGTGGGGCTTGCTTAGTAATGTCTTTTGGTTCTTCCTCTCTGTCCCTATTTATGGACCAAAAGAGTGCTTCTTCCAGACATTTGGAGGCTGTCCAGGAGCACCTCCAGTTCCACAGTAAACAAACAGGAAACTGTAGGAAGCAAAATAAACACTTTAGAGATACAGCGTTTAACTTTGGCCATAATTTTTCCTCTGTCCTGACACAAACTGTCTCTAGCAATGGGAAGGGAAAGTGAGGGGAATAAAATCTTTGTGACAGCACAAAATCTATGCACAAAATCTGAATAGTAAACCACTGAACACCCAGACTAAATACCAAAATCCAGAGAAGCTTTGAATACTCAAAACTATGCCTTGAGGCTGGATACATCCTGGCATTTGATACTGAGAATGTAAGGGAGCTAGAGCGCATTCAAGGCTGGTTTGTGTTACTTTTTTATTCAGCAAGCAAATATTCACTATTTACTCAGCCATTCCTTAGGACACAAAGGCTTTGTGTTTGCTCTATGAAATCATTTTAATTCATTCTGACTCACCCCTTCCCACTAGGCTGTTCCAATTCAGCAACAAATGTTGCAGATCTTCATTACTATAATTGCCCAATAAAAAAAGGGTTAAGTAAATTTGTTAAGCCAAAGGAAAAGGTAATTCAAAGAACATAAAGCTTCAAAGAAAGAAAGAAAAAGACATCTGCCTTTTGCCCTAATATTATCTTCTACCTTCATCCATAAAATAAGAATTACCAAGTTAAAGTTAGGTTTCTTGGTTGTTTTTATAAACAAATCAAAAGTAAACCTTTTTTTTTTTCCCCCTTCACAAGCACACGTAGCACTGCATTTTATATGGGTTTTAATGTACATATTTTCTGGCTGAAAGCCAGACTTGAATACAAATACTAGAACATTGTCACTGAATCTTAAAGATTAATTCTAGAAATAGTCACACCTGTGACACGGGGATCAGTGAACTATATGTGAATGAACAGCTAGGTATGTGGGATTTTTTCTCTGAAAACACCTGTGGACAAGATGATCACTATTAATAGGACTTCTCTTTTCACAGGACATTAATTTACAGGCTGCAATAAAATAACCCGAAGTCTTAACCTCCTAGAAATCCAGATCATTTATCCTATTCTTTATTTCTAAGCTAACTGTGGAGTCCCCATGGCCTCAGCAGTGCACAAAGTGACATGGTCAACACCCATCAGATGTAGTCAAACAGTGTCTTCTTTCCAGAGGAAGACAGTTCTTCTTCACAGAAGGAAAACTGTGTGTGCATTCTACTACATGCATTTCGATGTTTTAAAATATTTTATATATGTTTTCCCCCTGCTTTTTTACCTCTGTCCAAACTAGTTCCCTTGGGATTAAAATTAGTTTTCTGCTCATTTTCTATCACACAATTATTCTATTTTTAACAGGAATTAAGTGCACTATCCTGCACATTCCATGTGTTTTGTGCTTTGTAAGCCTAGCTGTGCTTTAATTTCTTCCCCTTAGGAATGTGTGATGTTGAATAACACATGTTCTAAAAAGAAATATCTATCTCTCTCTCTCTGCTTTTATATACATCTATACTAGCATTTAGTCACTGTCAGCTGCTATTTACTGGACAGACACTTCAGAATAGTAACCTATCCGGAAAACATACGATTAACAATCATCTGGGAGTACCCTGACACCTGCCACAGTGTAGCTGTGTTTTTATACCCTTACATAACAGCACACCTTATCACTGTATGCAAGCATACCACCAGTCTGACAGAGTAACACTATCATCCTCATTTCACAAAAGCATGAGGACCTGAGGTATAACTCAGAAATTGAAGTCCTGACTTGTAAGAAGCATTGCAGTCATAAAGCAGGACTGCAACAGAGTTTGCTGGGCTGATTCTCAGAGCAACTGCCTAGCCATACAGACATTTGCAAATTAGTAAGACCCAGACTCATAGCTACACTAATTGTACTTAGGCCACAATGCTTTTCTTTTCAGTGGTGAGGTTCTACTAGCTTTTAAACTTCTACTTCTGTGCAGAGCCGAAATTATCTTCTTATTGGCCACTCTGAATCTTTCAATACCTCTCTCAGACTTTACCCAATTGTATATTAACAATCTTAGTAAGCCAGTTACCTGAAATACCAGTTTTAGTGGCTGTGTTCTAGGTATACCTTTCATACATATGAGTCAACACAGATCATAGAAATCCCAGCAGTTTCAGGTAGGAAACAGCAGTGCACTCATCTTTCATTTTGTGATTTCATGGTGACAGCACAAAACGAAGACAGTTCTAATTGAGTTCTTTTCCCTTTCCTCTTCTCCATCAAAACTAGACAAACAGGTTGCCATGCTTAGATCAAGAATTGGACTAGGTGTCCTCCAAACCAAACTTGGTCTATGCAGCTTGATACATAACTAAGTTAAATAAGGTTAAGTCCAAGTCATTCCCTGTCAAAATGAGATGGAGTCAATTAGTCAGAGAGTGTAGATTGTACTGTAGGATGAGTGACCCTAAACCATGAGGAAAATTAAACTGTTCCAAATACACAAGCTGAAGCAAAGAGATGGCACTGGGGCTACTGGCACCTGGAAGCATTCTCATATGCCAACCATCCTAATTGTCATCATATTGGAATACAGGTATCTCAATAAGCTCATTCTGCACTAAGACTCTTTGCCATCTATGTCAATATTT